CGCATTCGCGACAGCTCGTAAGTTAAGCGAGAAAGATGGTTGATACGTGTCGGAGGCAAGGTCCTGAACGATTAAAAATTATGAATTTGCGACTGAAGGTTTTTGCCACCAACATAAATATCCAGAGCTGGTTCTTAAACAAGGATGATAAGTTACGGCAAAAGGCTGCAAAGATTTGGACTCGAACAAATTCCCGTGCTATTCGAGCAGTAAACTCCTCTATTTGAACTATTTTCCATAAATATTTATCTTTTAGGCCATCGAGATTCCCATTCTACTCACCTTCTTTTTGACATAACTTATTAACCCAGTAATTCAGCACAACATCTGAATGATGATAGCGCACAATGCGCTTTCCAAAATTAAAAACTCTCCAATCTCTTCTTGTACGATTGTTTTACGCTAAAAATATTTAAAATATAAAAATATATAAAAAAATATAAAATATAAAAATAAAAAATATAAAAAATATAAAAATAAAATAAAAATATAAAAATATAAAAATATTCGCGATCCTATGAACCTCGATCAGGGAAGGATCCTAAGTCGAAATGGCAGCTTGAAAAGAGACCTATCGTACGAGACGTTTTTTTGGATGCTGATTTTAAGATTGCTTCCCAAATTTGCCGATTTTTGAAAATCTTAGCGATTTTTTGAACGGAGTCATGGAGGTGTTTTCAGGAAAGACTTAACATGGAAGAACTTAAATTACACGGATGTACAACATTCTTCAGCGTGGGTTGAAGGCAGTGGTAAGGGTGACGCTTGGTTTGGGCTTTGATGAGAAAGGAATGCTTGCATTGCATAGGATTTTTTTATTGAGAGCGAGAAAATAGCCGCATGAAGATTTCATTATGCTACTGCTGATATTTATCCACCTTGAACAATACCGCGTCAACTTTATTCGTTTGTCCGTGCATTGTATATTCACAGAAGGGTATTTTCGCCACTCTATGAACAAACGTGATACTCTAGCACGAAATGCTTGAAACAAAGAAGCTTCTCACAGTAGGTACAAGGGTTGAAAAAGAGCTCTTCCTACCCCATTGCTTCACAAACACTCACCAAATCGGAAGGGAAAAATACAAGAATTTGTGGGCGTCTTAAAGTCACCCGCAAAAGTGCTTAAAGGCATAACTCACGAGGGAAATATTTTCTGAAATTTTTCTATAGGATGGATTTGAGCCCCTATACCTTATGTGCCAATGTCAAGACGAGAGACGTCTGGGACAGGCCACAATGAGGGGCCAGACAATGTACCATGTGAATGCCACAACCACAGCGGGCGAGTCTGAACGGTCTTGTAGAAACTGTACTATCTTAAGGGACTTCCATGCTGGAAGTTCAAACAACTTGCCATGACTCATGGCGACAAAGGAAGGCAGTTTTAGACAACTTTTGCTTGGTGAAGCCAGCTCTTTGTGTGCAACTGTTACTACTGAAATCTCGTCCAAATACACCTTTGGCCATAGTGATCTCGCACAATCTCTATTCCCATCACTTTCAGGAAGCCATACGTTTTGCGAAGTGATCAGATTTTCTCGCTTTCTTCGCCACCGATGCCCTACTCTGCATCAACACTTCCTCTTTCCAACTTTAAATGGGTGACTCAAAATCATCGTGAACTGTGCCATTAAGTAGCCGGCTATGAATAGGAGAGAAACATTATGAATCTAACGGCATAGCACTGAAGGTAGACAAGCGATAGTAAGCGGAGAATTGAGTTTTGAATGTACACGCAAATTGAGATCATGAGCTTTACTTGTGATTTGGTGCGTTTGGTCATATTTTCAAAAGACAAGAAGTAGAAGTAGTAGAAGTAGTGGTAGAAGTAACATCAAGCGGTTCTGTTGATATCGTGGCACAGCATTTGTAAAGGTAAAACCGACTGAATAGCTTCATGGCCTCTGAATGATGTCCAAGTCCACAGCATCTTCTTCTCGGGAACTCCTCAGCAGCTTCCTATAGTAATCAGGTTCGGAATCCTAGTTTTGGCGAAATATTTTTTTTTTTGCAAACCTGAATAGTCACAAAAAGTTTCTGACATAGCCGACCGTCAGAAACGAGAGGGTCATGGCAGAAACAGGCTGCACGACTCTCTCTACTCTCTTCTAGCCTTTTGCTGCTAGCAATCTCTGAATATGCATTCCCATCATAAAACCACCTTGGCAAGCGTTAGACACGGCTCTTAACACCATTTTTCCATCTGTAGGATGTGGCGATATTGGAACAACACAGTGTATCCGAAATATTAGACAACACTGAGGATTTGGCGTTGCCGTTCCTACCTTTCCTCACTTCGTCCACTACGAGACCGCTGTTAATATTTCAAGCAGTTTTACAGTCGGTCTTGTTTTTAGTCGATCTTGTTACAAAGCATTCGTTGTAATCGTGCATTGACAACAATGGGAGCTGTTAAAAAAGAAAGGTCAGTCATCATAGTCATGAAATGACTGAATTGATCACAGCGAAATGTGCAGCAATTGAAATCCATTGTGAATCTTGACCTGAAAGCTGTGTTGATCTCTAGCTCGACCAGTGTTGAATGTATTATTTTCATTGTATCGCATGATTTGAAATTCTAAACAAGTGCAAAACTTCTTGAACACAATAAAGTAGGGGAAAAATTTGCGAACTTCTGGGAATTCAGTAAATTGAACCCAACTGGGGTTGTTCATTTTCTGTCATAATGGGTATCGAACTGATCAGATTCATGCTTTCCCCGATATGCCGATTTTTTGAGCACAAAAACAAAGTTTCCATTAAAGTGGAGCACGTCATCAGCGAATATGACAGGCTGCCATATTCGCTGGTAACTCCTTACGGGCTTAGCAACTCGATTTTCAATGTTCCCTGAGCTTTATTGTTTCGATCTTCTAGTATCTTTTGCCAATGTGAAGCTCTTGTCTTTGTCTCAATCTTTATTAGTTGAGAACGTTTCAGGCATGAGCCCTTCTTCAGTTCCATTGAACTATAAGCTCATTCAGAGGCAGGGACAACAACGTGGACCATCAAATAACAGCTTAAGACTTAGGCTGTTATTTGATGGTCCACGTTGTTGTTCCTGACTCTAAATGAGCTGAAGGCTTAACAGCTGAATAACAGAGAAAAGAGAATAGGAGAAAAACATCGCCCTATCCCTCGGCGATCAGCTGATTGTGTGTGGGTCCTGTTGAGTTTTGGGATTCGACAGAGTCCTTCCTGTTACATCTGNGAGCCGCTGGAAACTCCTAGGGAGAGACCTCAGCACCATTTCCATCGTGAACTGTGCCTTTAAGACTAATTACTGCAATGCTGGCTCGACAATCTACGAGTGTTCAAGGAATAACGGACTCGCGTAGATATTCGTATGAGTACGGGCTAAATCTCGAGTGACATATGTAATCCGCGATGGTGAGTCACATCTATGATTGATTCAACCGTGCCTAAAGGTGTTAAGGCGAGAGGACACCTGATCTCCTTCTTGGTTGACGTGGTGTGAGGTAGAGCAATTGCTGTGCGCGTGATCTTCGATTTGCGATGGGTTGTTTACCATTTGGATTAATAATCGTTGGCGCCAAAAGAGGTGTCGGCGGGAACAGAGAGCTTCAAGAACACAACACACGGGATTCGATAATTATTTATTTTCTCGGGTGGGGTCCTTTGCGCCTCAGCACGTCTCCCGGCTTAGTTTTTTTGGTTTCAGGTATCCTACCCCTTCGTCATTCAGTTGCTGATGATTATTATTTGTTGCCGTTTTTAACAATGTTTGATATTTGCTAAAAATAAAGCGTATGGTTCGCTTGGTGTTAGCTACGGTGTGCTCGGTCGAAAATGACATTGAATTCTACTTGCAAAGCTTACTTGGGGCCCAAGCCGAAGCACAAATGAGTGAGCACTGTTCACAAATAGGTGAAAGTTTTGGTCGTGTATTTCTGGTTTTTTCGGTGTGCAACGATCAACTGGGTTTTCTTCGAGTGGTCGTTGTTTCACTCTCTGCTAGCAAGTGATGGCTTTCCAAAGAAAGCCCAGCTTGTTGAGACAGTGTGGGGTCAGATTCCTTTACTAGCTGGGAATCGATAGTGAAGCACCCTTTTGATAAAGGATCAACGCTGTTCACTTCTGTGTGGCAACTTAGTTGTGCGCGAGTATCGATTGCTATCGACTGAAGGAACCTGGCACCACACATACCCTGATGTGCGTGCGATGGCGTCAGTGGTGTCAGATCATGTGATAGATGCCGAAGTAAACACTTATCTAAACGCACATGCAGTAGCCCAACAAGAGCGTGAGATGGAGGTTGACTCTCCCGTGGCACTTGATGTGAACAAGAATCAAGAGCTAGACGCGCAAGGTATGTCACCAAGCGCTCAAAATTGTGAAAGAGGTGGAAGTACTGGTCGGGGCAGAAGTGATATTCTAGCGATGAATATGAAAGGGGGGTCGCTGGCCGAAGCAGATGCACACAGATCAGGGAACTGAGTTCGTGAATGAAATGCTCGATGGGCTCGCAAAAATTTCTAGTATTAAGCACACTGCACAAAAGGGTACAACTTGCGAGAGAATGGGGCAGCAGAGCCACCCTGCAGCAAATCCTGAAGAAGAAGATAGAAGTGCTAGAAATGAGGGATTTGCTGCTCTCGAGTGCAGTCTTCGCGTAAAATGTTACATCGCATGCAGAGACTGGAGAGTTCTTTCCTCCTGCTATACTGTTTTGACCGTCATTTCTCTGAACTCGTTGCCCGAGAGTAGAGTGCGCCTGAGTGAGATTAACCTCGACGACTACAAATCGGAGCTGGTACGCGACATGCGAGTGATCCGGAATGAAGTCACTCAGCAGGCGGAAAGATATAGAGAGCGCACGAAGAAATACTATGATGACAAAAAGGCGGTGGACAAGTCTTATTCGGCGAGAGTAGGCGGAAGAGTTTTCGTGAAGATGCAGCCGCGAGAGCGGAGCCATGCAAAACACCTCAAGATAGCGTGAGTGGGATGGACCGCACCGCGTGATTGAAACGAGTGAAAACTCACTAGTTACAAAGATAGGCGTAAACGAAGACCCAGTGAGAATACACTTCGACCTTTTGATCAAGTGCCCAGATGAAATTTGCTGTGAACCAGTGGAAAGTTTCGCTAGACGGAGGAGGAAGAAGGTCTAAAGATAAAGGGAAGAGAGACAGCGTGCAAGTTTGTCCGTGGAAGAATATCAGTAGGTAAAGATTCGTTTTTTTGGGTTAGAAAACGACTACAAAGTCGACTCTTCGATGCATTGTCTCCATGTCAGATTCAAGTGCGACGGACAAATTTCTCCGAGTGTGAACGAACGTCCTGGCTCCCCGTTGTCATCTCGTCGCTGTAGTCAGAAGATTATCGTCTCTCATCTCATACCTTCGGTGCCACCTCCAGCAGCTGGCGAAAGAATCCAGTGTGTTCTGGATGCGGCAAGAGTGTTAGCTGTTTGGTGGGGCGAAGGCTCAGTCTTGCACAAGGTGAAAGGATCGTGAACAGTAGCTGCTTGGCGTTGAATCCAAAATCTGTCGCTGTTGCCCCTGTTTCTTTCGCTTTCGGTGTTCACAAGTCGCGTTGATGAGTGGTATGGTTCCGCAGGAGGCACGGTTTAATCACACGATTCTGCCTGGTTGGTCGTGGATACGAATAGGATCATTCAATACGGATGGCATATGGCACCGTCAATAGAATGGTCGACAATAAGTCCTGCGGTAGCGAACGCCAATGAGCATGGCAGAACCGTCGTTCAGGTGCCAGATGTTCTGAGAAGGTTGACTTTGCAGGAAAGGGGCAAAGACTACTCTGTTCTACTACAGGTCTTTCCGTGAAGTCCGGCGTAGTAACAACATGTTGTTCGCTGGTGGAGTTAGAACCGTTATGTGGGTGATGCCGCCAAAGGAACCTGAGGATGCTTTCTCGTGGATTCAGTTCACTGCAACGGTTGACCTTTGGTTATCCTACGGAGCGCATGTTTGGATGGTGAATGGGCCCCGCTCATGCGATGACGTAGCTGGAATTGTATGAAAAAAAGAGCGCAGACTCACATTTTTGGATACCTCGATGACCATGCCGACTTTATGCAGCAGGGGCACGATCTTTACCGGGAGATGTTGGAATGCTGAAAGCTTCCATGGTCTGTCTCCGTGTAGATTCGTGGAAGACCCAAGGAAGTGGTGGGAAATATCACGCGCAATGGAATTTTACGATTACCTCACGACGCAACTCATGGAATACGGTGTTCATGTCTGGAGGACCGGCGCATGCTGATAAAAAGAGGGGCGAAGGACCGCCCATTATAATTTCCAATAGGCATCTGAAAAGAGTGGAGCAGCGTCAAGAAAGGAGCCAACATGGGCAGGGGATTATGCGGCCTCAGTATAAGATGTGAGGACAGAATTCCAGAGGAGGGGGAGCATGTTGGGGCGAGAGGACCCGTGACCTCCTTCTTGGTTGACGTGGTGTGAGGTAGAGCAATTGCTGTGCTCGTGATTTTTGATTTCCGATGGGTTGTTTACCATTTGGATCAATAATGGTTGGCGCCAAAAGAGGTGTCGGCGGGAACAGAGAGTTTCAAGAACCCAACACACGGGATTATTTCTTTTCTCGGGTGGGGTCCTTTGCGCCTCAGCACGTCTCCCGGCTTAGTTTTTTTGGTTTTAGGTATCCTACCCCTTCGTCATTCAGTCGCTGTTGTTTATTATTTGTTGCGGTTTTTACCATTGTTTTATAATTGCCAAAAATAAACCGTTTGGTTCGCTTGGTGTTAGCTCGGTGTGCTCGGCCGAAAACTGCGCTAAAATCCTACTTGCAAACCGTACTACGTTTTCTTTCGTTATCGACAATGTACCAATTCTGAGATTACCATCCATTCACATGTACCCCTACCAATTCAATTCATTTTCTGCGGAAGCCAGGTGAGTTGAGTAAAAAGACACTGAATGAATGGGCTTTCTGTATCAAGCCAAAACATGCTGTGATTGAAAAATTTAGCGATTTCCGACACGATGCATATAGAAACCACTCACTTAAAAGAGTACACCAAAATAGATTTTCGTATTTTTCATGCCGAAAACAGTGACAAATTGATACACTAACTAAATTCTTGAATGTGGATATCTTCGTTAGATAAAATAGAGACCACATTGGTTCTGCTTCTCCAAATAACCTATTCGTCAAACTCTAGAAGTTCATCTTCTTCTCTTCTTCTATGACAGCAGAGATATTTCAAATAGATCGCCAGTCCCACCAGGCAAATAATAACCAACACGCCTGCACCTATGAGTCGTATCCAAAGAATAATCCTGTAATGTAAAAGAAGCAAAGCATAATAGAACGATGATTGTAGGAAAAATGTGGAATCATGAATATTCGAGGCTCGTTGCTGCCTTGTACAGCAGAAACAATCTACGCTAGCTTTTTTGAAACCTAGAAGCCTATTTTCTAGCAAAAACGATAGAAATCTTAACATGACTAGCCGCACTACATAGGCAGTGGTGACGCAGTCTCTGCTATCGCAATGATACCTTCTGCCCATAGGTCGCACTGTGTATTAGCAATCAATCATTCGACTTTGTCTACTGCCAGACTTTGAACAAACAGTATATGTAGTGTATAGCAGCGGAAACACATAAACCTAAGGATCGGGTAGCAACAAGTTGGGGTGCAGTATGCTTTGCCGCAAGATTGAACTAGCTCTATAATAAGGCTGTTATCCCTGACCAGTCGGATCGCCCAGCTAACGCCGGGCTCTCCCCCTTCATGTGTCAAACACGCTATACGGAAAAATATTGAATTAAAGGAATTTTTTTCTCTTTTTCAGAGTTTATAGTTTTTAAGTTTTTTTTTTCGCTGTTAAGCTGAGTGGGAGTATAAAACTGAAACAGGGCTCGGAAAAGATTATGTGCAAACGTAGAAGCTGTTCCGGCAAGAGTAATTTGACATTTAAATTCCGTTAAAGAGTGAATAGGTGAAAGAAAAACTCGCGAAATGCACCCGGTGACACTCAACAACTGAACAACGTATACAGGGTGTCCCAAAATTATTGCCGCCGATTTTTAACAATACAGTTAAAGTTCTTGGCTGCGAAAAACGATAGAATTTCTATGCACGCTAGCTAACATTATGTGCTACAAGATACTACTGTCGCATTTCAAAATGTCCCCCATGAGCGCGGATAGAAGTCAAAGTTTGCTCTCGACTCGATCGCATGTGGCACGCAGGTATCCTCCATTTCTTCCCAGCCGTTCTTCAACCTTTGCATCCTAGGACTCCAAACTGGGAATGCAAACACGACAGGTCCTCTTCTATTCAGGGACCATTCGTGGGAGTCAAGTGACTCAAGTT